AGTGTGTTAAACAACCCAGAGTGGTGGAGTGTGAGTGTAAGAGTGTGTTAAAAACCCAGAGTGGCTGTGGGAGTGTGGGTGTAAGAGTGTGTTAAACAACCCAGAGTGATATGGAGTGTGTGTAAGAGTGTGTTAAACAAACCCATGGTGTGGGAGAGGTGAGTGTAAGAGCAAACAAACCCAGAGTGATGTGGGAGTATGGGTGTAAGAGTGTGTTAAAACAACCCAGTGTGTGTGGAGTGGAGTGTAAGAGCAAGAAGCAAAACCCAGAGGATGGATGTGTGTAGAGTGTGTTAAACAACCCAGAGTATGTGGGAGGTGTAAGAGTGTAAGCAACAACCCAGGTGGGAGGAGGTAAGAGGTGTTAAGCAAAACCCAGTGATGGGAGTGGGGTGTAAGAGGTGTTAAACAAACCCAGAGTGATGTGGGAGTGTGTGTAAGAGGCAGCACAACAACCCAGTGTTGTGGGAGTGTGGAGCAAGGAGAGTGTTAAGCAAACACAGAGTGATGTGAGGTGGGTGTAAGAGTGTGTTAAAAAACCCAGAGTGGTGTGTGGAGGGGTGTAAGAGTGTAAGCAACAACCCAGAGTGATGTGGAGGTGTGTGTAAGAGTGTGTTAAACAACCCAGTGGTGTGTGAGGTGAGTAAGAGTGTGTTAAGCAACCCAGAGTGATGTGGGAGGTGGGTGTAAGAGTGTGTTAAACAAACCCAGAGTGATGTGGGAGTGTGTGTAAGAGTGTAAGCAACAACCCAGTGGTGTGGGAGAGTGTAAGAGTGTGTTAAGCAACACAGAGTGATGTGAGGGGTGTAAGAGTGTGTTAAAACCCAGAGTGGTGTGGAGGGGTGTAAGAGTGTGTTAAACAACCCAGAGTGATGTGGGAGGTGTGTAAGAGTGTGTTAAACAACCCAGGTGGTGGAGGAGTGAGGTGTTAAAAAAACCCAGAGTGGTGTGGGAGGGGTGTAAGAGTGTGTTAAACAACCCAGAGTGATGTGGGAGGTGTGTGTAAGAGTGTGTTAAACAAACCCAGTGGTGTGGGAGTGTGAGTGTAAGAGTGTGTTAAGCAACCCAGAGTGATGGGAGTGTGGTGTAAGAGGTTAACAACCCAGAGGAGGGAGTGTGTGTGTGTGTGTGTAAGAGGCAACAACCCAGAGTGGTGTGGAGTGAGTGTAAGAGTGCAGAAACAACCCAGAGTGATGTGGGAGGTGTGTGTAAGAGGTGTTAAACAACCCAGTGGTGTGGGAGGTGAGGTAAGAGTGTGTTAAAAAACCCAGAGTGGTGTGTGGGAGGGGTGTAAGAGGAACAAACCAGAGGATGTGGAGGTGTGTAAGAGTGTGTTAACAACCCAGTGGTGGGAGGAGTGTAAGAGTGTGTTAAACAACCCAGAGTGATGTGGAGTGGGGAGTGTAAGAGTGTGTTAAACAAAACCCAGAGTGATGTGGAGGTGAGTGTAAGAATGTTAAACCACCCAGAGTGATGAGTGTGTGTAAGAGAGGTGTTAAACAACCCAGTGGTGTGAGGTGAGTGTGGGGAAAGGTGTTAAACAACCCAGAGTGATGTGGGAGGTGAGTGTAAGAATGTGTTAAACAACCCAGAGTGATGTGAGTGTAAGAGTGTGTTAAACAACCCAGTGGTGTGGGAGTGTGAGTGTAAGAGTGTGTTAAACAAACCCAGAGTGATGTGAGGAGTAAGAGGTAGTAAACAACCCAGAGTGATGTGGGAGGTGAGTGTAAGAGTGTGTTAAACAACCCAGAGTGATGTGGAGTGTGAGTGTAAGAGTGTGTTAAACAACCCAGAGTGATGTGAGTGTGAGGGAGGTCAGCGACTGATGGTCTGTGGAAGAGAAACTTTAGGGATCATCCTGGTGACTTACCTGTACTTCTATAGTGATCCTGCCCGTGTGTGTGTGTGTGTGTGTGTGTGTGTGTGTGTGTGTGTGTGTGTGTGTGTGTGTGTGTGTACATGGGCGCCAATATGTGCGGTTGTTTGCTTTTGTTTGGTGTTGGGAAGAGAGAACATCAGAGGTGTAACAACTTAATAAATGTTTAAATGAAGCCGAGTAAATATTCTAACAATATTAGTCAGGTCTTATGTCAACATTTATTATATCAGTCTAACACCACTGGGTTGTGGTACAGAAACACTGCCCTATGAGGAGCACGGAAGGTCACCGGTGTTGTGAGGACACTCCTTAGTGCCGGAGCTGACCCTAACGCCCGGGATCACAGGGTCACAATAACCACTGCACCATGCTGCCCTCACTAACCACTCAGGTGTTGTGAAGACTTAGTGACTGATGACCGCTGTGACCTCCACGCAGTAGATGAAGGTAACAACACAGCACTACACGTCGCGCACATGTCGGAGGTATGGAGGTAGCTCAGTGTCTGTTGGAGGTCGGCCTCAACCTTAATGCCAAGAACTCATTGGGCTGACACCTATAGACAGGGCAAGGCTGAGGGTCATCACCTTCTTGCGTGGTGGCTGAGGAAGCAGCCACACG